GTATGCAAGAAGACGTCGGTTCGAATCCGACCGGATTGAAGGAATTTTTTCTGAGTGTTTTTTCTGAGTGTTCGATCTTTGTATTAATAATTATAACAAACTAGTGGAGTAATTTCACAAAAAATAATTGAATATCAATTCAATAAAAATTTAATTAATCATAACGTTTTTTTATTAAAAAACCGACCACAAAAGTTTGTGGAATTACATCTATATGCAAAGTTTTATTGAAATCGGTTAACAGAAAGTGAGTGAAATTCAACGTTCTGAATTCATCACCTAATTTGCCACATTTAGAAGTGAAATATTTTCTTCAAATTTGAGTGAGACCATTACTGAGGTATCTCCTTTCTAACAAAAAAAGATTCATCGAAACCGGTTCACAAATGTCGAAGTAATCGCGTAACTATACAGTCGAATTGAAAACCTCCTCCTTTTTGTAAAGTCGGTTAAAAACATGATATTCATCATCACTTTCCATCAAGTAAGATGGATGCCAAATGTGCACTTACATTCTCAAAGATGTCATCCCATTCAATCATACCTCTTTTAATTCCAGCTATCATTTGGAAAATGTCTATATATACACAGTCAAAGTTGAATGTGTATATATATATATATATGTATATATATATATACACTTAAAGTTGAATGTGTATATATATGTATATACATTTGGTATTTTATTTCAGAGATACCTATATAATATACCAAAAGAAATAGTCAATAAAAACGTTAAATATCAATTAATTTTAATTTTAAAACCTTATGGCTGTAACTCTACAATTTAATTTTAATATGTTTACATAATTATTTACAATCATTTTAATCTGTTTGTCTATAAAATATCACAGTCGTGCACTTGGTGGTAAGCAACACGTCCGTAACAGTTACAGTGCCATTTAGAGCTTTAAATCGCAAAGATTTGAGGAACACTGCCACTGCGCCCGTCACCCTGAGACATAAGTTGACAAGTCCCGTGTGCCTGTAATTTCACCAGGTTCTGATACAATGCTACGTAAGCGTGCTGTATTTGCCTATTATAGGGTTTATGCTCTAGTAATTTCTGCAGTATAATTTTATGTCCATGTATAGTAGTGTATTTCTGTTGGCGAATCCAATAAATAAATGAATAAATTTTATTGTTACAGAGTGAAGATGGGCAGATAACACATAAACTGTTCCGGCCGTCTACTTCCAAAGTGTGAGTTACTATTCCCATAAAAATAAGTTAAGTTATATAAATATATAAAGGTAAATTCAAGAGCTTTCAGAACGAAAAAATAATTATTTCACAATATAGGCATCAAATAGACATACGCGAGTATTTATTTGTATTTCAGCACTCTTTGAGAAATGTATTACGATACAAACTCACAGGACTTCGTAGTATGTTCGCACAATAAAAAGTATTATCATTAACCAAAATAATATCATTTTCACCAAGTATTAACAAATAATTATCGTTCACCCAAAAATTTTCATTTCATTTCATTTTAAATATTGTTTACCAATTTCAAAATATTTATGATTATTATGGTATTTAAAAAAAACAGCATTTGAAAAGTGAAAGATTTTTTAACTCATTCCCGATTCCCAATTCATCCAGAGCTCATTCATGATTCTGTTTTTAATACAACACTAATTTTCTATAACTGGCGTAGTACTTTAACACCCTAAGTAGATTCATTCAGCTGTGTAACAGTAGAGCTCCTTGTGATAGAGTTCGTTCAGGCAAGTACTATCACCGTATCTGTTTCTGCCGCCAAAGAGTAATGCTCATTACTGCATTTCAGCTGGTGAAATTACAGGCATATGGGGCTTGTCAACTTATGTCTCAAGGTGACAGGCGCAGTGGTAGAGCCCCTGAGATCTTTGTAATTTAAAGATCTGAGTGGCACTCCAACTGTTATAGACAGGTTTGTTACTTACCGCCAGGAGAACGACTTGTTCGTCCCGTCATATGCCATGTTTTATTTCCTAAAACAAACATAAATAAAGTCATCAATTGTTACTTTTTGCTCCACAATCTCCATTCAAAACATTGTACAAACCCTTGGGCGCCAATTAAATAAGATATAAAGCTTACAACTGTCACGTATTTATTTGTTCTTATTTATATAACATAAATATGTGCGAGGGAGCGTGATCCTCGTGCTGTAATTATTGTGACTTATTGGCGAACGAAGATAACATAAAGTTCACGACCAGCATTTACAGAGCTTTACTTCAATATTACTCAAGAGTCAAGATGTGTTTGTATTTTAGAAAGCTGTTCAATGTTCTAGCATTTATAAATTATATTCAAAAAATGAATAATGAATATATCTCTGAAGTTTTTACAAAAAAATCTTTTATAACGCACACAGGGAAACCTTGCATCGCGGGTGCAATGGAATCACGCATAGGCAACCACAATTACACCCAACTCACGAGAGAAATAAGTGCAGGCCGTTCGAAATTTCTCCTGACCCAGGAATCGAACCCGGGACTTCTGGCGTGGCAAAGCAGCATGGTGATCGTTCGGCGACTGAGGCAGTTATCTATTTATTTTTTATGTTATAATAAATTCTCTTTTATATTTTATTAAGTTGACTTTCAAAATTGCAGAAATTACTCTAGAAATTCAAATTACTTGATAAATATTTCACACATATTATGACAGACATGAATGTCATTAGTATAGTTAGCAGAATCCTGCAATTCGTGACCCATACACCGAAATGTAACCTAATATAACCTAAAATATGTAAAGGTCTTATTACATTGGCCGGTGCGCTGCGAGGGTTGTGGCAGCTTTATCTCGCGACTGTTGATCGTGACTGCGACGCAGATTCGCGTAATTGCGCTGATTATGAACGAATCGTGATCATGATGTACACGTACGACTCCCTGCGGACCACGTAAATAGCCTATAAAAATTACTGCGTAAATGAGATTGGCGATTTTATTGTCAGTGTTTGTAAATTCATGATCTGATGGATGTTGTTTACCCTTATATCGGGATTTACAAAATAATATTAGTCACAATTTTCTCCAAACCAAGTCTAAGCTGTTTAAATGCTTTAACCACCATACGAGTTAATGACACTTTGTAGTTAGTATACGGAACTTTGAAAACTTATAAACTTTTTCGGACCAGTTAAGAACAGAACATGATAAGTACACAAAATCATCATGACTATACGCACAATTGACAAACCCATAAATTCGCACACACCTAAAATTGTTTCCGGTAACTATATCAAATAACGAAGTAAGAAAATGAGTCTACTCAACCTTGTTGCAAAGTTTGATCAAATAAAACAAAGTTTTGAACAAACGAATGCATTAAAGTCACCAGCAAAGTGATCCAATCGTAATATCGCACTCCAGGCATCAAAAGTTAGTATGCATTGACTTTGAAAAGTCGTCCAAAACTAAGTTAGGTTATGTTTATGAAACTATTCGGATACGGGTGTGTGCCGCCGATACACATGCAAGAACTCACGCCCAACTTGAGGCATAGTTCGCTAAGTGGAACAGCTGTAAAACAAAGTAGCGAAGGGTCTAGGAACTTAGTGTGTACGTTCGCAAACTATTCGTCGCTACGAACACATGTCCTCGATCGCGAGCTGCGGCGTCGGCGCCTCTGCAGCCCTCGGCCCTCAGCTCCCAACTTTGACAGTTTAATTCGGGAAGTGGTGTCGGCCGACGACCGCGTTTGATTTATAAATAAGTTGAACTAGGTTCAACTAAAGTATTGCGGCGGGATGATAACGAACGTTGCCTACGCTCCCCGCGCGCCGCAAACCCGCCCCGCGCGGCGCCCCCCTCGGCGCCCGCGTGCAGATAAACTTTTAAAATGACTTTGGAAGCTTTTGAGCTTTTAATCGGTAAAGTTGTACAGACAGACAGTTCGGGCACAATCCTCGAACCGCTTGCGCCGGCGACGGCGGCCGCAAAACTTTGTTTTACAGGACTACTTTTCTTCTTGTTTCAAGGTTGGACTCTTAAAACAAACTCCAGTTCGACGGAGTTCGTGAACTCGGGCGCCAACAATTTACAAATTTCTCTCTTTCATAACAACTAACTGCCGCTCGGCGCGCCGGCGAAAGTTGTCCTGCGTAGATCTTAATCGCATTGTCTGTTGCGCTCGCGGCATGAACAGCTGACTGTGACGACACAGTTTATCGAACTTTTGCTTAATTCCACCGCGATACGTAAGCAAACAATAAACTGGCGCCACGCTACGTAGCTACTGCATCCACCGATGGAGTGCTGAATATGGTAGACGGATTAACTCTCAAAATGTTACAATACTCTCTGACTGCTCGAATGTGTTTACTATGACGTTTGTACGTCTATGGTGTGGCTAAGAGTCGACTTGGCAGCAGACGTCGGCCGGCGCCCTCCGACGCGTATATTCAATTTATTTAAGTGACATTGATAGCATCGACTGCGGTTGAAAAAACTCGTCTGCCAAATTTGACGGTGCGTCCCCTCGGCGGCGACTTTTTTCTGCTAACGCCTCACCTGCCCCTCGCCAAGTGGCTTCGCGTGAAAAACACTGATTGACCTTTAATGTGTAGCCGTCTGCTAGCATACGATTCGCGTTAGAACCTTTCTCTAAAAGCTTTCATGTAGATGTGTTCCGAGGGGCGTTCATTTTCCTTATATACTTCACAAAAAGAAAATACATCGACACATGGGTAGACACGTTTTCTTGGAAGGCCGCAAATTCTAATTTTCTGAGTGCTCTAGCTTCGGTTGCAATAGCGGGAGGTCGAATCATGTTAGGTACGTGCTTATGTACTACAAAATAGACGGTAACATAAGCTAAATGCGGTATCGGGTATTGCGCGTAAATTTTACGTAACTAGAAATAAATAGGTTGCGGGTGTGGGGGCGGGACGGAATGGGCGGACTGTGCGCGCGCAGCCCCCGCTCCCCGCAACCGCGATGGCCCGCCGACAGCCGCCGCCGCCGCATAGACCGCGCGGCGCGCCCCGCATCCACCCGTTACGTTCGCATCCGCTCCGCCGCGCTGCCGCCGCCGCTGCTCATTGCCCACCGGCAAACTTTTCCGACGTAGACGCGCTACGCGGTGCTACGGACTACGAGATGCTCCACTGTTTTCACTGAACACAGGTGCATTTTTACTGTGCAGTGATATTTGGTGAACTCGTGTTTTTTTAAAAACTTTAGTGCGCGATGAGGGCTCGCCCCTCCGTTTTATAACGATGTCGGCTCTTGTCCGGTCCGTCTGGTAAGTCACCCTTTATTACCGAAGTTTTCTAGTCAACTGTCTTTCCGAAAGATAAATAGTTGATCGCGCGTTAGTTTTATAATTACGCCAATAGTGTTTTGGTTTTTGCTAAAGATACGGAATTTATTTCAGCAGTTCGTTCTACGTCGGTGAAATGCTCAAGAAGTGTCAAGATAAAAATTAAAAAGTTTACGCACAAATCCCACGCTCGTAAAACCATTTCACGAAATGCTTTCAATGTATGTTACTTAAAGTAAACGATTTATTTACTAATGTTAGGCAAAGCTGTATGAAGTAGGGATGAATTAATTATATTTGTCGCAGTGATTAGGTTGATTCGTCGCCGGCGCTCGCGGCGCGGCTCGGTTAAAGCGTTTGGCAAATAACCGCGACGTTGCCGCGAACGCGGAATACGTAATCGCGAGGTTAACCTTGTTACCAAATAACCCTTTACTGTAAACTGTGCATAATTTTGATTAATAAACCAATTACTTAACGAAACAAACGATTATATACGTTATTCATTACTTATTGAATATTGGTACAATAATTATATCTACTCTTTATAACTCTATAATTGTCTGAAAATTATTTAATTTACAATTTCAAAAAAAAACAGAAATTTTCTTTTGTTAATGACTTATAATATAAAGTGAACCATAAATAAATATATAGGCAAACGGTTTCATTTCCAGTTATATAGAATTGTGAACATAGATCAAATCAATCGCCTTTTAAAATACAACAAATATTTATAATGTATTTATGCAACAACATATTGATTGTAATAATAAGAGAAAACGAATAAACAGCGTTCATATAATTTAAATCTTCAATTTGCTACACATGCTCCTTAGTACAAAAAAGTTCAACGCCTTGGACATCAGTTTGGCTCCGTTAAATCTTTTAACTACAGTTTCGTGCACTACTAATAATGAATAACTTTATAATAGAGAACTACTTAGTTTACGACAACATCTGAATACATTGCAATGAATAGGTATGTAGTGAAAAAAAGTGACCTCGTAACAACATATTTATCTGTATGCCAGTTTTAGTAAATATGAAAAATGTTACTATATACCACCTGTGTAAAACACATAATATGCAAATAAATCTCAATGAAACGTACTTAAATTGAATAAATTAATATGTCAAAAAATCAAATTGTTTGGTGCATATTTTTATAATTACACTTGTTATTTATACGAGAACGGCAGTATACAAATGTTTATAAAAAGTTTTAGCAATATAGACAAAGAACGAGAATAAGCAATGAAGCAATTGATTTAAAGAATGTGATATAAAAACTACCATATAATATCAACGTAAATACATTAGTAGGGGTAGATAATATAGGTGAGTTGCAGTGACGGGGTGCCCGAAAATGAAATTTTGTAGCTGGTACAAAATTTCGTATGGCTACGGTAATAACGGTCAAACATTAAACAGACCTTAGCGTCTCCCAAACTGCTCATTAATTTACTGGATATAATTCTTTATAAAGAATGGGCCTAAATAAACAGAAATCCTGCCCTGGTTTTCATTAATAAATTCCTATAGTAACTATAGTCCGTATGAAGTTATACACTGTTCGTAAAAATCTAAGGTCTTATTTATTTGTTTTTAAGGGATAACAAGCAATTGTACATGGTATGATTACATTCGTTGTGAAATTCACTGACAAGTACACGTACAATCAACAACATTATCCTCATATTACTATTAAAATTGTCATGTGTGATGAGTAAGGTAAAACTAAAACAAGTAAAAAGTAAACAAAAAAGAAATTAGCTCAGGGCTTCAATAATAACTTTTTAAATTTAGAAGCAGGTAAACATTGACTTACAATTATATGGACGTCGGGTCCGCGCTAAAAAGTGTCCGAACTTATAGGACGTTAAAATCGTGTACAGAGCGTCATTCACGCTTTAGTCTTCGTTTGTTCGACTGACAGCGAAGCAAGCAAAATTAGACAGTACTGCGATGACATTACAATTTAAATTCAACGTTTTAGTTTTTTCATATTCCTTTACATGTCACTACGTTTAAATAGACTTGGGACATTTTTTTCGTGGTTTTTGTATTAGACCCGTCGTCCATTTATTTGTAAGTCAATGCAGGTAAATGAAATATGTCAATAACACTAAACAAATAATTGTACTGAGAAAGAATATGACGTAGAGAAACTCGCTTGCCAGCATTCGGCAGCGCGCCGTTTTAAACAGCGGGTAGAGCGCGTACGTCGTCGATGAACTGTCATGGGTACATTGTATTTAATATTTTGCACAAGATCTGGATAGTCAATCAAATTGTAATAATTATATTGTAACTCATAACAAAGTACCGTTTATAAATGACCCTGTAATAAACAATTTCAAATATAACACTATTTGTACAATTTCGACTGTATATCTGCTAGAAACAAATCAAATAAGAATAATATAGATGAGTTATTTCTACCGCCCAGCTATAATACGACCATTACTGCGTTTCGATTTTGAAGGGTAAGTGTGCTAATGAAACTACGGGCACATGACTTGTCACCTTTACATCTCATGGCGACGGGTGCATTGGCAGCGCACCTCAGATCTTTGCGATTTAAAGCTCTGAGTGGCACTGCAACTTTTATGAGTAGTCGTGTCTCAACACCAGGTGCACGACTTGTTCGTTCGGCGGTTGGTAAAAAATCATTTATTGAATAACTATAAAAGTCTTACAATCTGACGCGTGATTACGTGTCCTTTCATAACGAAAAATTATTGAACTAGACTATTGGAATAGACTTTGAATTATAGAGGCTGAAATTAAAATGAAAATAAAGCTCTGAGTGATACTGAAACTAATATAAGTAGGCGTGTAGCGTACAACCAGGCACGACGATTTATTTGTCCCATCTTCTCACTTGCTGTAATAAGAAAACGATATTTATTGGGTGATTATTTTTCAAAGTTATTTTAAACAAAACAATTTCGCAAAATACGTTCTGACCAAATTTATTTATCAAATGACGAAGCTCCACGTGGTAAAAAGGAACGGCCAGAGGGCAGGTTAACCGGATTTCACGTGTAACGCCTTACACCGGATTGGGCGGGGCGGCGGTGTTAGTAGAAATAAATGTTACCGCTTTTCCTAATGAAACTTTTATACGCTACCCTACTTGTTTTCGTTTGTTCATATTTAAAGTGAATTGGTACTTGTGTTATTATTAATAACCATTAATCTATTTTATAATTGCAAGCCAAAAATATATAAGTAGTATAGGTACGCTTGTTAATCATGGGTTTAAAAAGTTCCTTTTAGGAATGAGAATAGCAGTGGTGGTTGAATATTTTAATTGGCTTTTAATTTTCTGTACAACATTCAAATATTACCGAGTTCTTAAGTTATCGCGATTGTTACACGCTAGATATTAAATAATTTTTTCGGATCTAAATCGCATATATTTGTTTTGTCAAACAAACCAACGTTTCGGGTTCTTTATAAGTCCCATGACCACGGGAGACCGAAATAATGACAAAAATTTCAAACATTACGTTAATCACATAGGACCGATCCTATGAAAAGTCAAACGCAGGTCGTTTAAGCCGCTGCGTTGCCGTGTTAAACCAAAATACTGTATTATCAAAACCAGTATATTGGGAAAAAGCTGCGTTAAGAATTTTTCGGGTTTTTCTAATTTTTCGTGTTAATAATGTAAAAAGATACATTTAACTTACTTTATACATTAGATATTAAAGTTTTTTGTTTTGATTAAAGATTCTATATAACCATTATAATTATGATACACAAAATAAGCTAATTCTAGTAAAAAAAACTAATAAATTTGTTTAACCTAACACAATAACCAAAAGATTTTTGGTGTAAAGAAGTGACAAAACACTGTATTGTAACTGCAGTGTTTTGTTTTAACACGATAGCGCTCTGGACTCTTACCAATTTTCACGTGTAGCGCCTTGGGATATAAACTATTTTCTATACAATAATCCTGAATATATATGTTGAGTGCATTTTTAAGTAGCAGTAGAGCTCCTCATGAAAGCGTTCGCCCCGGAAAGTACTACTACCTTACCAATTTTGTGCCGCCCAACAGTAATGTGAGGTACTGGTGGAATTACAGGCACATGGGACTTGTCAACTTATGTCTCAGAGTGACAGGCGCAGTGGCAGTGCCCAGTAGAACTTTGCGTTTTAAGACTCTGCGTCGTGTCGCTTATCACCAGGCGCACGACTTGTTCGCCCCGTCTCTTGATATAATAAAAGAATATTACCTTATGACCTTATAAAAGAATATTGAAAAGCTTTTTCAGTCAATAAAAACATATAAAAAGTGGAACTATAAATTCACTTATTAAAACGGATAGAGCCGAGGCAGTTAAAATGAGATCATAACCTAACCGCTTTCATTTATAATACAGTTGTTCTTACTGAAAAGTTCTTACTTAAAAAAAAGAAAAACGTACAGGTGAACGGGTGAGCCGGATTTCACGTGTTACGCTTCGGATCAGATAGGGTCGGGCGGCTTCAGTGGAAACAATTTGAACGCTATCTGATGGGCGGCGAGTGCCTTAATTGTGGTTTATTTCGCGTTGCCGTGTTACACAGAGGATCATGTGTATTTTACGTTATGGTTAGTGGTTCTGGTAAACATTTTTAACATGGGAAGTTTGATTTGTTACATTAGATGTGATACGACACTAGAATATAGCATTATAGCTTTAACAGTTCGACTGTTTGGTTTGTTTTAAGTTTAAACAAGAAAGATATTGACGTCTGAAATTAAATCACTTAAAGCATTATATGCCTTATATACAATGTAATACCTTACAGTATTCAGTTGCTAACACTTACTCATACAAAAACTTGTTTATTAATAGTACCATTTTTTTTACATTCTTTTGTTGTTCCGTTTATCCGTTGTACCACAAGCGATCACAAGTTCATAATCATAATCTATACTTCCTAGCTCTTAGGTTCATCACTCATTCCGCTGTCGGAGC